AGCTGCAGGTCCCATCCCTATTCTTTTGTCTCTGTTTTTTCTTTTTTCTTTTGCCCTACTCAGGTACGTGGGGAGTTTCTTGCCTTTTGGGAAGTCTGAAGTCTTCTGCCAGCATTCAGTAAGTGCTCTTGAGGAGTTGTTCCACATGTAGATGTATTTTTGATGTATTTTGGGGGAGGAAGATGATCTCCAAGTGTTACTCCTCTGCCATCTTGAAGGTTCCCCCCCCCCCACCTCTGGGTCTCTTTATAAATTAGAAATCCTAAAATTCTGAAGTTGCTGGGATGATCTCCAAACTCCTAAGTTGGTATCATCAGAAAATAGTGTAGTTCCATATACAATTTACACAATGGCCTTAAATATTCATGAAGAAACTTATATGACACAACTTTCCTTTAAGTTAGGTCAATCCCATCTAGAGTCTTACAGGACTCAAAATCTTCCAGAAACCATTTTCCCCATTGGGTAACATTCCAAGGAAAGCCACGTTGGCTGGCATTGGGTTGGTTGTGAAATAGTTCACAACTTTACAACCAAATGAAGCACGATCCCCTTCAGGGTTACTTCTACATAAACCCATTTGAATTGTTTTCCATTTTCAAATGGTAAATACATCCCAATCCTTTTTTGAGGATAGTGTTTTGGGTTTTAGTCATTTTATTGCCATATTACTTTTTAAGTTTTCTAACAAAAACATATTAACTCGAATATAACGTGATATCAATGTAATTTGCATTAAGACAACATTTCTGAAAGCTAAGAAATGCTTGGAATACAAACAAGTAAATATATTCATTTGTCTGTTGAATCAGTGTCATATTTGTGAGTCATATTTCATGCTAATCAGATCTGAATAATGAGAGAAATTCCTAAATCAACAATGGTTCATATTCTCAAAATAACTACTTTCCTTAAACTTTACCTCCCTAGGTGACTAATCACGTTGCTAATCATGTATAATAATAATGATTTTTATGCCATTGGAGGAATTTGATTAATTAACTTTATAAAGGGATTACTAGTTAATTTACAAGGAATTTGTGAGGAATCTTTAGTGCTCTGAATTTGTCAGAGTGAAAGAAAATTGATCTTTAAAGAACTTTATTGGGCTTCCCTGGTGTCGCAGTGGTTAAGAATCTGCCTGCCAATGCAGGGCACACGGGTTCGAGTCCTGGTCCAGGAAGATCCCACATGCCGTGAAGCAACTAAGTCCATGTGCCACAACTACTGAGTCTGCGCTCTAGAGCCCACGAGCCACAACTATTGAAGCCCGCGTGCCACAACTACTGAAGCCTGCACGCCTAGAGCCTGTGCCCAGCAACGAGAGAAGCCATCACAATGAGAAGCCTGTGCACCGCAATGAAGAGTAACCCCCCCACTCGCCACAACTAGAAAAAACCTGCGCGCAGCAACGAAGACCCAACACAGCCAAAAATTTAATTAAATAAATCTATAAAAGAAGAACTCTCTTAATTCATTTATAATTACTTGTACCATTGCCCAGCACTCTTCCCTGTATATCTGTATATTTTAATAACAAAAGATTTATTATTAAATATGATTTATTTAATTATGCCCTATTTATACTTAAGTAGCTATAAGACCTATGCCCAAAATTAAGTTCTAAAGTTAAGCACTGCTTTAAGTTCTCACCTTTGAAAAGTATGATTCTCCTAAAGCTCAAGATCCAGCAACTGATACCCTAGTTCCTGAATCTTATAATATTTATACAGTATACAATTTTAAAACTTCTCAATTGAATAGAGATATTTCATATTACTTTCCTAACAAATACTACCTGAGTTTAAGAGCACTACCATCTCTGAATCCCCTTTACTCTCATTTGCAAGTTCATTTGCATAACTGCCACAGGCACACATCATTTATGCAAATCTCTTTATTTTTCCAAATACAAACAGGTTGTGAGAAACATTTTAAAACACTTGCTTTCTGTAGGATCATCTCAGCTTTAACTTCGTGTCGCGTGTAGCAAGGATCTATTATATGCAAATTTTATATTTCTCTTAAAGGAGCAAGAGTATCACTTTTTTCAATTACAGACATCATCTGCACAGCCAACATAAACATTTTATTTTTAAAGTTCAGAGAGGCTAGAAAAACTTAAGGAGAAACTCTGTAAGGAAAAAGGAAAATGAGTAGAAGTAGAAAAGGAAGAATGAGTTTTAAATACTTCTAGCTAATGTAAAGTAAAATACTTTCCCTGGTAGCAAGTAAATAAAATAGTCCCAGTCTTTGACTTTAAAAAATTTATTAAGTACCTGATACAAATTCACCCATGCCCACACACACAGATGCATGCAGGCACACACCCCACCACCAGCATGCTCATTCACTCTTTCCCCATCCAGCATCCACCTGCCCTTCTTAAGGGAACATTTATCATTTGCTTCTACACTGGAGGGACCAGGCCCTGCACAATCTCAGCCCTTGTATTTCAGAGTCACTCTCTGTTGCATAGGTAGAGCATTTGACCCAGACCTAACCACCTCCCTGGCCTCTGTGACTAATTCACTTGAGACAATCAGAGACGATCCTGAGCATTTTGTTTGAATGACTTGGAAAAGGCCCTCCCTCTCTCCCACTGTGCTTGCCACCAAGAAGATGTAGAGGGTGGAGCCATGGCTGTCATTTGGGCTCTATGAGGGAGGGCCTGAAGCTGCCAGGGGATACCATGGGGATCTGAAATGAAGCCAGAATTGAGAGAAGAGAAACCACATCCTGATGACAGCATGAGAATTCCAGTTCTAACCATTTTTGAAGCCAAGATCTACCTCTGGAATTTTCAGCTATAAGAACCAGAACATTTCCCTGGCTTAACATTCCCTTAAGCCAGTTGGAATTAGATTTGTTGAGTTTTGTTTTGTTTCATTTGTTATTTGCAATTGATAGAGTCTTAACTGAGAGATCAAGATACTGACATCCTAATGATGACATAAGAAATACACAGAGGGCTTCCCTGGTGGCACAGTGGTTAAGAATCCGCCTGCTAATGCAGGGGACATGGGTTCGAGCCCTGGTCCGGGAAGATCCCACATGCTGTGGAGCAACTAAGCCCATGCGCCACAACTACTGAGCCTGTGCTCTAGAGCCCGTGAACCACAACTACTGAAGCCCGCATGCCTAGAGCCCATGCTCCACAACAAGAGAAGCCACCGCAATGAGACACCTGCACACTGCAAGGAAGAGTAGCCCTGCTCACTGCAACTAGAGAAAGCCCGTATGCAGCAACGAAGACCCATCGCAGCCAAAAATAAAATAAATAAAATTTTTAAAAAATAAAATAAAGAAATACACAGAAATTCAACTGCTCAAATGCCCTTGTTCGTCACATGCCAAGTGTGTCTGCTTTCTTCATATTTGATTCATTGTTCACAAGGTTTCAGTAATCTTATTAAATGGGGCACAACTTTAATACTGTAACAAATACACAATTTGTCCATTAAATCTGATGTATTAAATACTTTCCATATGTATCATTTACAAAATTTTTTCATATATATTTTAATATATGTATATATTATGAAATCATCACCAGAGTAAGTCTAGTTAACATCTATCATCATATATATTTTTTAAATCCATAAAACTGCTTATGTAGGAAATATTATTTATAGGTTAAAAACTGAAGTTTAAAACAGCCTCTACAACTCAATACCAAAAAAACAAACAACCCAATCAAAAACTGGGCAGAAAACCTAAATAGGCATTTCTCCAAAGAAGACATACAGATGGTCAACAGGCACATGAAGAGATGCTCAACATCACTAATTATTAGAGAAATGCAAATCAAAATTACAATGAGTTATCACCTCACATCAGTCAGAATGGCCATCATCAAAAAGTCTACAAATAATAGGGGACTTCCCTGGAAGTCCAGTGGTTAAGACTCTGTGCTCCCAGTGCAAGGGGCATGGTTTCAATCCCTGGTCAGAAAACTAAGATTCCGCATGCTGCACAGCACAGCCAAAAAAAAAGTCTACAAATAATAAGTGCTGGAGAGGGTGTGGAGAAAAAGGAACACTCCTACATTGTTGGTGGGAATGTAAATTGGTGCAGCCACTTGGAAAACAGTATGGAGGTTCCTTAAAAAACTAAATATAGAGCTACCATATGATCCTGCAATCCCACTACTGGGCATACACTGGAAAAGCTGAACACTCTAATTCAAAAAGATACATGCACAGCAATGTTCATAGCAGCACTATTTACAATAGCCAAGACACGGAAGCAATGTAAGTGTCCATTGGCAGATGAATGGATAAAGAAGATGTGATAGATATAGATATATTACTACTCAGCCATAAAAAAAGAATGAAATATTGCCATTTGCAACAACATGGGTGGAAGTAAGATAAAGAAAAATATGATATCACTTATATGTAGAATCTAAAAAATAATACAAATGAACTAATTTACAGAACAGAAACAGACTCACAGACATGGAAAACAAACTTACAGTTACCAAAGGGAAAAAGGGGGGGAGGGATAAAGTAGGAGTTTGGGATTAATAGATACACACTACTATACATAAAATAGATAAACAACAAGGATTTACTATATAGCACAGGAACTATATTTAATATCTTATAATAACTTATAATGGAAAAGAATCTAAGAAAAAAAAATATATATATATATAACTGAATCACTTTGCTGTACACCTGAAACTAACACAATATTGTAAATCAACTATACTTCAATTTTAAAAAATAGATAAAATGAACATTTTCCCAAAAAAAAAAAAAAACCCTGAAGTTTAGGAAAGTTGACTTGGCTTTGAGGCCTCACAACTAATAAGGGGTAAGGGCCAGGTGTTCTTTTCATTTTTATTTATCTTTATTTTCATTATGCTTTTCATCACTACATAGATACTGTTTATCTTGAAAAATATAAGTGACAATACATGCAAGCAAGACACAAATAAGCATTAAGTTCCATCAAATTAAGACATAAGAATTTTTAAAATAGTATGATCTTACCTAAATCGATATCTCGAATTCCCATGTACAATTCAAGAAGATCATCAACCTTTCCAATCGCCTTTGTTTTGGTTTCAGAGGGCTTTATCAAAGAAAAGAGAAATAAAATCATATTTTTATGTATAATCTCTTAAATGTCAAGCCATACATAGGGGGAAATCTGATGTGGAGCCAGTTCCTGGTTGTGTACTTCAGCTAATTTGAATGGAAATATATCTAGAATGTGCACTGCAACTCAATACAAATGAATATAGTAAATATTTTTGGTGTTTGTGTTAAGTATTATAGATTCAAAGAAGAAAACAAGAACAGTCTCCAAGCAGCTAGCAGTCTAGAAGGGAGACAGATGTGAAAAGAAATAGCTATTTAACAATAATAAGGACAATTTCTAAAGGATGTCAAAGAGGCATCACAGGGGAAGTAAATTTAAATCTCTAAGTGTCCAGGAAGACTTCAGAAAGGTGACTTAAGAACTGTGTTTCAAAATGAACTGGCGTCAGATAAGCAGGAGCAGGCACCAAAAGTAGAAGGCAATATATACACAAAGTCTATGTGAGGTTGCAGAGTCTGATAAAAGCGTACAGTGGGTTAAAGGACTGCAAGAAGTCCCATGTGATGGGAATCATAGCGCCAGATATGACTAGATCTTAAGGAGTCCTGTATGCCTTGAATAGGGCTTTGGTCTTTATCATGCAGGCCATATGCATTAACAGCTCACCCCAAGAGTAAAACACTCTGAACACATACCCCTATTATTTATTTTTTATTAATTTTATTGAACAGAAGTCCCCCCCCCTCACTGTGGTCTTGCTCTCCTCAGTTTCAGTTACCTCAGTCAATTGAGGTCCAAAAATATTATATGGCAAATTCCAGAAATAAACAGTTCACAAGTTTTACATTGTGTACCACTCTGAGTAGTATGATAAAATCTCACACCTCCTGCTCCATCCCAGAATTCCCAACCACAGACATCACCTGCTCCTGAGATCCAACCTTCACCATCATCACGGCCAGATGATCCAGGATCACCCAAGCAGATGACCCTCCTTCTGACTTAGAGTCAGAAGGTCAGTGGTAGCCTAACACTATGTCACAATGCCTATGTCATTTACCTCACTCCATCCCATCACACTGGCATTTTATCATGCCACATCATCACAAGAAGGGCGAGTACAGTAAAGTAAGACATTTGGAGAGATCACGTTCACACAACTTTTATTACTGTGTATTTTATAATAGTTCTATTTTACTATTAGTTATTATCATCTTTTACTGTGCCCAACTTATAAGTTAAACTTTATCATAGGTATGTATGTATAGGAAAAAACATAGTATATATAAGTTTCAGTACTATACACAGTTTCACACATCCACTGGGGGTTTTGGAAAGTGTCCACTGTGGATAAGAGGGGACTACTGTATGCAATTTTTATCAATTACACACATGTGCTACCACATTGATGTATTGAGTATGTTATAAAAATAGAAATTTTATAAGATGGTGAAATAATATTTTTAAATAATTGTTTTATGTATTAATGGTACCAAAATATTTTTGTTCTTCCTACAAGTTTCTGTGAAAAACATGATTGGACATATTTTATTATTCTTTTAAAATCTTGGTTTAATATTTGGTGAAGTCTGGTTCTGTTCAGTTTATTTCAATACTTGGTTTTAAATGGCTTCATAGCTGAAATAAAATTTGCCCAAAGATGTTAAACACTCAACTACGGGTACAAATGTTGAATTCAAGACTACACTGCAGGGCTTCCCTGGTGGTGCAGTGGTTGAGAGTCCGCCTGCCGATGCAGGGGACACGGGTTCGTGCACCGGTCCAGGAAGATCTCACAAGCCGCAGAGCGGCTGAGCCGGTGAGCCGTGGCCGCTGGGCCTGCGCGTCCGGAGCCTGTGCTCCGCGATGGGAGAGGCCCCAGTGGTGGGAGGCCCAGCGTACCACAAAAAAAAAACAATGGCCACCAAGATCTTACTATCCTAAATAGCTCTTGATCTCATCACCCCCTCTTCCATTCATGTTCTGATTGCCTGTGTTCAGTCCTGACTTTTTTTAATTGAGATATAATTGACATATAACATTATCTTAGTTTCAGGTATACAACATAAAGATTTGATATGCGTATATACTGTAAAATCATCACCACAGTAAGTCTAGTTAACATCCATAACCACACATAGTTATTTTTTCCTTGTGATGAGAACTTTTAAGATCTAGTCTCTTAGCAACTTTCAAATATATAATAGAGTATTATAAACTATAGTCACCATGCTGTGCAGTCTATCCTCAGGACTTGTTTATAAGTGGAAGTTTGTACCTTGACCCTCTTCACCCATTTCACCCACCCACCCCCAACCCGCTGCCTTTGGCAACAACCAATCTGCTCCATTTCTGTATGAGGTGGGGGATTTTGGGAGGGGGGGGAGGTGAGAGGAGTATATAACTGAGGTCATCCAATATTTGTCTTTCTCTGTCCGACTTATTTCACTTAGCTTAATACCCTCAAGGTCCATCCATGTTGTTACAAATGGCAGGATTTTCTTCTTTTTCATGGCTGAATAATACTCCCCTCATCTTTTCTTATTTGCAGAAGTCTCCTAATTGGTCTCCCTGCCTGAAATCTTCAGGCTCGGGACTTCCCTGATGGCACAGTGGTTAAGAATCCGCCTGCCAATGCAGGGGACACGGGCTCAAGCCCTGGTCCGGGAAGATCTCACATGTCGCAGAGCAACTAAGCCCGTGCACCACAACTACTGAGCCTGAGCCCTAGAGCCCACGCGCCACAACTACTGAAGCCCGTGCACCTAGAGCCTGTGCTCCACAGCAAGAGAAGCCACCACAGTGAGAAGCCTGCGCACCGCAATGAAAAGCAGCCCCTGCTCGCCGCAACTAGAGAAAGCCCGCGCACAGCAATGAAGACCCAATGCAGCCAAAAATAAAATTAAAATTAAAAAGAAAAATCTTCACACTCTCAAATCCACCCTGCTCAATATCCCATCCCCCAGAACCAAGGGGTTTTTCTAAAACACAAAACTGATTTGCTGTTCCCCTTGCAATTTTTAAATAGCACCCCCCCGCTCCATTATCCACAGGTCCTTCACGCCCTGACCCAGGCCTCTACCTCCAGCCTCATCACCCCCCACCAGGTACTTGCAGCACACTCCAGTCCCGTGGACATTTCCATTTCATGCCTAGAACACTCTTCTCCCCATCTTTGACCAACTCAACCATTTCTTCTGGAGGGAACTCTCCCTGATTTCCCTTTCCCAATCCCTGACTGCAGCTGATCAGCCAGCCCCTCCTTTATGACATTAACCTTGCCCTTCTGATTTGTAATAGCTTCTTTTCCTGCCTCTCTCCTTTTAAAGGAAAAACAACGTCTTTATCCATCTTTGTATCACCAGCACCTGCACTGTACCTGTCTCAACAAACACATAGTGAATAAATTGTGAGGTATGCAGGTGGAGTATAGTTCCATTTTCAGAAATTGTGCTAGATAATGAGGGGCTGATTTGCTTCAAATCTGTAAATCCTTTGGTGTTTGAAATTAAATGGTAGGTCATTTGTATCAAATTTAATATTAGCACCAAACTAGTTTTTTTTTCCCCTTTATTACGAGCTATTTTAATTGCCCTATTTAATGAAGCAGGCTATGCAAATAGGAAGGGAGTTTTAGATGTTTTTCTTGGAATGAATCTTTCCCACCTCCTCAGGCAGATCTGCAGTTATTCTTTTTCATTCCAGCACCTTCTATATAGCAGCTGCTCATAAATAAACAGATATGTATTACCCATTTTAACTGTTAGAAGAGGGCGCTCCTCCTGAAGTGACATGGAGTTTTTCCTGCCGACCCCACTTCCTTTGCAAACAGTTTGAAGGTCTGTCCTTTTCTCCTCCACTTTAAAGCACACTTGGCATCCCCTAGCTCCTTCCCACTGTCCTTCCATCCTCTTACAGATTCCTTTCTTCCACTGAGGTTTGTTCATTTGTTCAACAATAAACATTTACTGGACTTCAGCAATATGTCTGGCAGTGTGCTGGGCATTGGAAAAGCAAAGACTCAGAACAACCAGATGTCACTGCCCTGGGTTTTTTCACAAATCTTGTCATATCTCACTTTCAAAATGCTTTCAGCTCTCCCAGGCCTCTCCATTGTCACTTGCCTCCAGATCAATCTTTTCATTCACCCAGGACCAAGGCACTCGACTCGGAGTCTTCCTCTAGATTCTCCAAAACAGACAACATCCTGGGTGACTCAAACATTCAAGAGGACAACCCTGGCCTCGTGGTTCCTTGAGGGTCTGCTCCGACAAACCACACCCGTGACTGACCCTGACATCGTCCCCCAAAAGCTCTGGATCCTATGAAAACAGCCTCCTAACCATTCATCTGTCTCACTCTCTTGCTCTTCAAACAGCTGGGAGCCCTAGGACGGTAGGTACACACAGACATGCCTTCCCCCCGACCCAGCCCCCCCACCCCACGCCAAGGAGCTCCGGAGCCTCAGAGGTCTGCCTGACCTCCCCAAAGGAGGGCTTCATCACCGCTGTCTTCCTGCTGTGAGCGGACCTGCCACTTGTAACTTTGAATCCTTACCACTGCCACCCTCTTCTTCCACCCTCCTTCCCTCCATGTGTCTCTTCTCCTCATGTTTTTCACTCAAATACTGACCTTTACATAGACACAGTCAATCAGCAAAACCCTTCCTCCAGTCAATCGTAAGTGAATCACTAATTCATTAAATTCAAAGATCTGAGCTCCTCTGAAGTGTCAGGCACTGTTCTAGGTGCTGGGGATACAGCTGTGAACAGGACATGTGAGAACAAGACATGGGACTGAAAGGAGACAAGGATATAAGTCCCACTGGGTTCAGTGCCTTAAAAAAAATGAAGGGCAAGGAAGATTGGGCAGGGGGCAGGGTGGCGGGACCTGCTATTATAGCAGCTGCTCAGAGGTTAAACAGTGTAGGATGTGGACAGAAACTCAAGGCGGCAAGGGAGTGATCAGTGCCCGTAAATGGGCAGCGCATCCAGCTAGAGGTAACAGCTCATACAAAGGTCCTGAGGCAGGGATGTATCTGGAGTGCTTGCGGACAGAGAGGAGACTCAAGTAGCTGAAGCAGAGGGAGCCAGGAGGAGAGGGGTGGAGATGAGAGCAGAGAAGAGACGCAGAGTCAGATCGTGTTGGTCACTCTGAGGACTTTAGCTTTTACTCCGAGTGACGTGGGAAGCCACTGGAGGGTTTTGAACAGATTGTTCCATCTCATTTGAGTTTCTAAAGGATAACTCTGGCTGCTGAGTAAGCAGAGGGAAAGAGGGCCTTTATTTCCAGCTCTGACAAACACGAGTGTCCATCCATTTCCAAGACATATAGGGATTAAATGAACATAACATACCACTTCTTCCACAGTGGCAGGGCCTTTTGATCTCAGGCGAAGTGTCTCCCTTCCAGTACCAATCCTTCCTGTTGATGACTTTCCAGCTTTTGACCTAGGCTCCATGTCTATAAACATACAATGGATGGGGAAACATACGTATATTAAGAATTCCAACCAGTTGCTATAAAAGCTAATGAGTTTCCATCACAAATTTCTGTACAGTTATTGAAGAGATTTGATAAAAGCTATGCCTTCTGATAAAATTTCCCAAAACAAAATAAATTCACCTGTCATCCATTATTCTCATATGAGAGCCTCTATGAGGTCTGCCTACAACAAGGAAAGGGAATACGTGAAATGTGCTGATCGGAAAGACTGGAAGTTATAAGGAATAAAAAATAAAAGTTGGTTTTATTGTAAGAGTAAAGAGGTATATGTGGCAGGAAAGCAGAGGTAGGTGTGTAGCTGGACTTCATTAAGGTCGTAAAGAAGGGAAGGAGTCATGTCTTGATAGAAGACAGAGATGGAGGCACTATTATTGGAGGACCTACCTTCTGCTGGATGCTTTCAATACAAAATCCCATTTAATTCTTGGGCCAACCTATGAGGCAAGTTAGAGCCGTCATTTTACAGAAAAGGAAACTGAACTCAGTAAGGATCAGAGCTGGTATTCAAATCCAGGCCTTGTGACCCCAAAGTCTCAACAACACTTCACCACCACACCTCTTGGAAGCACAAGGGATAAATTCAGAGGTAACAGACCTCAAGAGGCTGGGAACAGGTTCCAAGGAAGGAGTTTCCCTCGCAAGGCAGACGACAACAGAGAGTAAGAGTCCACGAGAAGCCACTCCTTCCCTATGCTGGTTTTCTACGTGTGTGTTTTGGTTTGGTTTTGGTTTTCCAGCATACCAAGAGTCACCCCCACTCCCAGTAACATAAATGAGTGGAAGGGTAGGGTGGGAACTGAGGATAACTCCCAGGACGTACCCTATCCAGGCCACTCCAGTAACTGACTGCTCTGTGAGAAGGTAGGCCCTGCACAGCCAGATCTTCTACTGGTTTGCAGAGAAGATGAACACTCAGTTTTGTGTCAACCTCCTGATTTTTAACTTTTGGCAACTAAATCAAACTTTTAAAAACGACATAATGTGCTCTGCAACAAGAGAAGCCACCACAATGAGAAGACTGCGTGCCGCAACGAAGAGTAGCCCCTGCTCGCCGCAACTAGAGAAAGCCCGGGCACAGCGAGGATGACCAAACACAGCCAAAATAAATTAATAATAAAGATAAAAACAACGTAATGGCAAAAATAAAAAATTTGTGGATCAGATTCTAATCATAGGCCACTGATTTATAACTTCTGCAGGTATCCCGAGTCCCCTTGACTGAGGACTCTGGCAGCAGTCTGGGGCACGGATGGAGGTCGATGTGAGGAGACGCAGCACCAAGCCTGGGAGATAAGTGAGCCCCAATGCAGAGTCACAGGGCAGGCCGCAGTGTACGAGCAGGCGGTGAGGTCCATACAAAGCTCTCAAAACATGGACATCAAGTGGCCTGCACAAACACATCCTTCCTTAGAATCTAGGATAATTCCCATCTTCAGCAAGTCCTGTTTCACTATTGGGGATCTATTCCAAGGTGACTAAGGATTTTACATGTTAATTTTAACCTGCATTTGAGGACAGAGCCACCAAAACATAAAACACATAAGTCTTCCTCTGAGAGTGAAATCATTCAAAATAATCATGCAATAAATAGGGTAGTTCCCCTAAGCCAAAACCTCTAAATGGTGGCTGACAGTGCTCATGTTGACCACGTTGACCAGAGAGATGCTCAGGAGACCAGAGCTGTGTCAGCACGTCTGCAGCATTTGCCTTGCCAGTCACACTGTGTCCCGTCCGAGGGAAGAACAGATTAACAGGAGATGCTCACTCAGCACAGGGTTTCCAAAAGAATGCCCAACGAAAAAGATGAGGCCAGTCTGTCACCAGCACTGTCCAGGATTCTATACTACCCAGTTTGGAGTCATGTACAGACCTACAGTGGTCAAGACAGCCTCACCTTAATGATGCTAACCTCCAAGATAAACAACCTTACACCCGCACTCCCCCTATCACACACTCTACCCACCGCGATTTCACCAAGCAACCTGCTCTGTATAATTTGTCTTCCAATATAAATTTTCTACAGGGTGGCAAATGAAGCACTCAGCTAACACATGTCTTTGGTTTACAACTACATATACATTTCTAACTGTAAAGTAATACACTGGCATTCTGACTTAACAATGAGTCTTTTGTAAGTTTGGTAAGCAAGACGTAACCCTGGAAAATTGCACAAGTTCTGGATACACTGAAGAAATTAAAGGTTCCTGGGATGTACGAAGCTGAGGACCCAGACTCTGGAACGTGGGAACTTCACGGAGGGAATGTCATCCAGGCTTGAGAAGTCGGCCAGCCGCCCTAGATGATGTCTGTGCTTACCTGGCTCTTACCTGCAATACCAGTAGCTAAAAGGGAAAATGAAATGTAGAACAGAAGTTTTTTTACTTGGTTTTTTTTTTAATTTTTAATTCATTTATATTTTTAATTCGTTAATTAATTTATTTTTGGCTGCGTTGGGTCTTCGTTGCTGCACACAGGCTTTCTCTAGTTGCGGTGTGCATGCTTCTCATCGTGGTGGCTTCTCTTGTTGTGGAGCACGGGCTCTAGGCACGCAGGCTTCAGTAGTTGTGGTGTGTGGGCTCTAGAGCACAGGCTCAGTAGTTGTGGTGCAGGGGCTTAGTTGCTCCGCGGCATGTGGGATCTTCCTGGACCAGAGCTCGAACCCGTGTCCCCTGCATTGGCAGGTGGATTCTTAACCACTGCGCCACCAGGGAAGCCCCTAGGCTTTACTTTTTTAAGCAGTTTTAAGTTCATAACAAATTGAGAAGACAGAGCTCTCCCATACACCTCTTGCCTCCACATATGCATCACCTCCCCCATGATCAATACCCCTCACCACAGGGCTACATTCGTTATAATCAATGAACCTACATGAACACATCATATCACATAAAGTTCATAGTTATGTTAGGGTTCACTCCTGGTGTTGTACATTCTGTGGGTTTGGAAGAATGAATAATGACATGTATCCACCATCAGAGTATCATTCAGAGTAGTTTCACTGCCCTAAAAATCCTCTGTGCTCTGCTTGTGCACCCCAGATTTTTTTTTTAATCATTACATGTTTGTCATCTTCTCCTCGAAAGTGTTATCTCAAAACTAACCACTTGGTGGCACCAAAACAAAAGTTAAAATTTCACTTCTGGCTTAGACCAGCCTCCAGAAAGGCAGTTCTTGTGGCTAAAGAAATAGAAGCCATGTTTCTCCACAATCCTGATTCAGGGAAGTAAATCAACCGGTTTATACATGAAAACAGGCAGGATGGCCCTGTTCAGCCTCAGAGGGAAAAAAATGTTTTGCTTTTTTAATGTTTGCAAAGGTTGCTAGTCTGGCCTACTTTTAGGGTGCTGGCCGGTCTAAGCTTGTCGAACCAACCAGGCCAAGCCCTACATCAGTCACTTCACTTCTCATGAACAGGTTTTCATGAGGCCTCTCTTGGGGCTGAATGATGAGAGGGATGCAGTTCACACAGGAGATGCTGGTAATCGGCCTGCAGCTCGAAGGATTCACTAGACTCAGGGCTCCCCTCCTGTGTCACTTAGGGCACAGGACACTCAGAGCTCAGGGGTACACAGCTGCTCCCACAGCTGAGTGGGATGTCACCAAGAAGCAGTCGCCTTAGTTCCAAACCCTTTTGTGGCAACTGTATCTGTTACTCTAATTACATAATTGAATTTAAAACTATGTGAGCTGATGAAATAAGTGTGAAACACGGAGTTATTATTGCTAGGAAAACTAGGTTAACTGCTTTGGAAAGACTCCATAAGGGCGAGTTGCAAAAAAAAAAAAAAAAAGGTGTGGGCAAAATGATGCTAGGAGATTAGGAAAAATATCTTTAACCATCCAGCATTTCACATATCTGGCTTTTAGATATCAAACAGAAACCATAGATGTGCGTTCAGGTTCTGATTACTAAAGCAAGACTTCATAGAACTCCAATTTGTGTCCTCTACTCAAAGAGCTTTTTACATCTAAAGAGTTGTAAAAGAACGCATATTTATATGTTTTAAAATAAAATGTTTATATCCACTTGTGTCATTCTTTATGATACCATTTTAACTGGCATTTTCAATAAACAGACCAACCCCCAGCCCCTGCTGCAACATGAAGGTCAGGGGAGAGATGGGGAAATGGAGAAGACAGCAAGATGTCTGTCTCTAGTCCCACCCTGAGCCCCAGGGGAAGAAGAGCACTGACAGCGGCCAAGGCCCTATCTTCAGGTGGAACACATGCAAATGGTTTAGATCCCCAATGGACACAGGGTGACAGTGAGAAGGGTAGGCATTCTCCTGCTTCTGCGCAGAACAAGATCTTGTTCTGGTCCCACAAGGGCCTGAGTTGGCCTGGAGTACAATTCATAGCAGGGGCAGAGCCATGATTTCCACGAGAGGGGGGCACATATGGACACCTCTGTGCCCAGCAAGAGATAGGCTTCAGAATCAGAGAACTTGAGTTAAAACCCAGCTTCACCATTTACAAATTGTGAGAACTTAAGGAATAAGTTCTTATCTGTACAAGAACACTACTGAAACCAAGTGAGGCCCTGTGGGACTCCCAAGCACAGAGGCTCTTTTGTCCCGTTTCTTGTGGGCAAGGCTCCAGCCTCTATGACCTTCCCTGAGTTCCAAAGGGCAGATTCCACCAGTTGTTAATCAAGGGAGAAGCAGCCATGAAACCACCTGAGGCCAGATTAAAGGGACCAGAGAAGCTCATCAAGATTAGCCGACCACCTGAGCTGAGATTAAGGGCGTGCAGGCCCTGCTCAACCCTAATCTTGTCACAGACCCTCACCTTTGAACCACTGTTATAAAACCCTCATCAAATCCTCCCGGGTTGGGACACATAGTTTTTCAAGGCAGAAGCCCAGTGTGTCTCCCTTTGCCTGGCAAAGTAATAAAGCTATCCTTTTCTACTTCACCCAGAACTCTGTCTCCAAGATTTGATTCGGCACCCGTGTACAG